CGAACTGCAGCGCCTTCTTGGACTGCAGTGTCGTGTACTCGATGTCGAAGCCCAGGCCCATCGCATAGAGCGCCAGCTGACAGAGCACGTGCGTCTTGCCGCTGCCGGCCATGCCCACTAGCAGCAGCCCCGGGACCCACGAAGTGAGCCCACTCCTGGCCGCATCCAGGATCTCACACCCCATCTCGTACAACTCGGTCTGCTCGTTGAACGATGCCAGCGTCTGGCCGACCGATGCAGCACGACGGATGCCGGGCTCTCAAGCACGTGGCCCTGTACCCTGCGGCTGGGCCCCGGCCGATAAGGGTAGGTAGGGCTGTCTCAATGTCGACCTCTTCAGCTCCTCCACCAATGGCCCTCTCTGCGCAGCGGAGATGTTTACGCATCCCACGAGCGTCTCGGCCAGCCGCTTGCGACGCTCCGCCCACGCGGCCGTCACCTGCTCCGTCAGCTCCCATGCCCTGGACGCCATGTCCACCAGTGAGACGCCACCGACGTGGAACATGCGCCCAAAGAAGACGTCGTGAATCTACTCATGTGCGCGCTCCAGAGCGGTGTCAAAAGCTTTGGTCGTGTATGACCCATTGAAGAGCTCCCGCCTCGCTCAAAGGCGCAGCAGCCGGTCCGCATCTCTCGTCGTAGCTGCCGAGTCGTCATCGGTGTGCTCGTTCAGCAACCCCGCACGCGAAAAGCTCTCACGTAGCGACGACACCGTGGAGGGTCCATATCACAGATGAATCGACCGAACCGGTACAGCAGGTGAATGAAGAACTTGTAGGGGTTGTCCGGCTTGACGGCGGAGAACACAATGACCACCTCTTTGGTATTGTGCTTCGGTCGCGACTCTACGAACCGCTGCACTAGGGCCTCGTCGTGCCTGTTGACCACCGCTTGCTGCAAACGTTCGAGAAAACCGACCATGGCAGCGTGAGACGCGTACGCGCCACTTGAGCCACAGCGCTGTCGACATGCCTCCACCGCCTCCGTCAAGTACCGCTGCCGAAACTTCACGGTCTGCAGCCCGCCGTCGGTCAAAGGTGTGACGGTGAGGTCCTCAGAGACGTCGTACCGATTGCGACGCGCAGCCGGCGGACGCTGCGAAAGCACCATCCACCTGCACCACGCACACAGAAAAAGACACCCATCCATCCATCCATCCATCCGTCTATCACATCTATCCATCCATCCATCCATTCATACATGACCGACCCACAACGTGTATCCCGCTCCCTCACTCACTTGAAGTACTCCTCAATAAAATCGATCCAGTGGAGCTCTGGCGGGCGGATGCCGAAGACGCTGACCTTGTTCAAGGGCTTTCACGTCACAAACAGATCATAAATAACCCTGTGCTGACCCTCTGTGAACTGCCGTCATAATGCGTTGGGAAGAACCCTCCGCCTCGCCTCTACTGGCACCGCCTGCGTGCCCGAACGGAAGCCTTGCGGGTTGTCCGGGTGAGGCTGTGGCGGCGCGTTCTGAACGCTGTCCACCGAGAGGCCGAGATTCAGGGCCTTCCAGCCGCACCTCAGCTCCGGAGGCAGGGACGTGATATGGATGCAGTCGACCGAAGAGGTCACATGGGGAAAGTCGTGCAGCTGCCACAGCATCTCGGTATAGGAGATCCGCAGCGCCTGCCGGTGACGCGTGTCCCGACGCCTCCTCTTCTTCTTGCTGTCGCTGTCAGGTGATGCCGATGTGCCGTCCTGTGGTCCGTGTGGTGGCTGCCTATCACCATCAGCTGCTGCTGCCGGGCCTCCCTGATCCTGCGCCTGACGCGCACGCACCTGCACGCCGCCGATCTTTGTGTTCTGGATGCCGTAGCTGTTGACGCGAACGTCGGTGAGCGCGTTCCTGTCGGACTCACGAGCCACACTCAGGCTGGCCATCGCCTTCTCCTCGACACCCGCCACATACCTGCCAACATTTAAGCAAGACAAGCAGCAAGCAGGACGTTCATCAACCGCCGTCACAGAAACATGCATGAGATGAGATGTGTCGTTAGCTGCTCGCCGCCTCACTTTTCGAGATAGGCCTTCACCCACTGGTAGTCGACGATCTGGACGTTGACCGAGCAGCACAGGAGGAAGGCCATGTCGGGAATGAACTGAGACATCATCTCATCGCCCTTGATACAGGGAGGGTAGTGCCGGCCGCCCTCCAGCTCGACAACCGGGCGCAGCAGCGGATAGTCCTCGCCGTCTGGCATCGGGCTCCTCCCGTCCAGCCCGGCCACACATGCGATGCGGTCCTCCGACTCTTCGGTCAGCCCCCACTTCTCGAGGATCCGCAGGACCTTGGCTGAGTGGTTGGACTGCGCTCGCTCGTAAAGGTGTGTGT